AACTGATGGCAACACTAAGGCAACCTTATCACAGGGTTTTCTTGGCAAGTTTCTACAAAAGGGGGTTGCCATTTTCATCCTTTGTGGTGGAGAGAGCATGATGTGCCCAAAGTCACCCAGTTGGTTTTCGTAGCTGAGAAGGGATTTGAACCCTGCTCTCCAGAATCATAGTCCAATGTTCAAACCACTACACAACACTGGCTCCCTTTATGTAACATACTTGTAGTTAAAAAGCTCTTTCTGAAGCCCAAGAGTTGGCAGAAAATGCATCCCAAAGTTAATCAGGAAATGTTAGGATTTCTGTTAATTAATTCCACGTACGTTCCTTTGCTGATCCCTATAGCAGTTTTAAAAATGATTGAAAGTGCACGGAGGGCCAAAGGCATGGAGGCTTTAATCTTTTGTGGGAAGATTAAAGATTAAAGGAAGGGTGAGGGCCCTCTCTCTGCCGGAAAGGGATGGAGAGTGGGCAATGCCAGGCTGACTGTATTTCCCTGCCTTGCAGACACCTCAGCCATCGTCTCGCCAGGTATGCCTCACCTGGCTTGCTCACTGGGACTGTACACCAGGGTGCGGCTCTTGACTGATCTACCACAACCCTGGAAATGCTGTGTGTGTGTGTGTGTGTGTGTGTGTATGGAATTTGGCCTTAGCCTAAGCTTGAGAAAAGCAGCACCTGAGGCAAAATTATCTGAGCAAAGAGGTAGTCACCAGTTCCTAGGTAATGATAGCTTCCAGTCAAAAATACTTTTAGCCACAGAGTGCCTCCAAAGAGCTTCTATTCTGTGCTCGATTCAGTACCCACATTATAGTATCTCTACTTTTTAGCAGTGTTTTGGGGCTTTTTCATGTATTGTGCATTACATATATGAGGAGCACTCACACATATGGAACCTGCAAGATAACATTTTGAGTGTTCAGAACTGTACCATCTCAGATGTAATCTTGGCAATCCTTACATCTGTGCTGTCAAACGTTAAGGTACTGAAGCTAGAGAGATTGGCATTTTGCACTATGAGGACTGAGAAGTTATAATAACCTGTGGGTTTCCAGCAGACACAACTCACTGTGACATCCCAGATCACAATATAAATATACACATGATAAGAGGTTGACTTATAGTCAAGTATATACGGTACTTCTGGGCTCGGCTCAGCTTGGCTTGTTGACTTTTTGTAATATTTGGGTTTATATTTACCAACATATTGGTGCAGCATGGATGGAAAAAATAGTGTTGCATGCCTACAAACAACAGATCTACTGTCCTACAACACATCCTCAGATATTTTATTTATAACTGTTGCTATCTTTTTGCCAGCTTGGCCACATAAAGGTAAAGGTTGTCCCTTGACATGAATGTCCAGTCGTAACCGACTATATGTCCCAGTTGTTATTTGTAGAAGAATAAAAAGAGCCAAAGTGCCACATGCTGTGTGATGGTCCAAAAACTTTTATTTCTAAAAATGCCAATGGTTATTGGTTCTCTCTAAAGAAACCATTTCAATAAATCCATCAATATGAACCCATTGGTAGTCCTAGTCAGTAGTGTCACTGGGGGTGGTGGTGCAGGGGTGCAGCACGCATTGGTTGACAACCCAAAAGGGGGTGACACCCGGTCGGCTCCCGTCCCCTGCATCCACTCCTTGGGTCCATGCAGGTGCTGATCCAGGCAGGTCTCTGGCCCATGCAAGTGGCTGTTTCCTTGGCCGCATGGCTGTTTTTCCCGGCTGCGTGGCTGCTTTCCCGGCCCATGTGGCCATTTCCCCTGAGGAAAGCCAAGCTGCAGGGAGGTGGATCGGGGCATGTTTTGGGGCCCTGTTCCTCCACACCAGGTGACACCAAAGGTAGGTACACCACTGGTCCTAGTCCCTTCCTTCTAATACTCAGAGAGTCCACTTTGATTGAGAGTGCAGGCTGCAACTCCAGAAATTTCGGTAATAGGTATGTTTATACTAATATGGACAATAGATACTATTTTATTGGTAAGAAATTATGTTTTTAGAGGTGATACCACACCCATAATAAATGTACTTTCATTTATTTTATAATAGCCCCTGAAGAAAGCCAATTGGTGACAAGACGAAACCCATTAAGCTTTTTTAGAAATAAAAGGTTTTGAACCATCACACAGCACCTGGGACTTTTGTCTCCTTTTATTCTTCTACTGTGAATACGTGCTTTCCAGTTGTTGTTGTTTTTTGTTCTGTTCCAGTTTTATCTGTGTAATGTTGGGGAATATGCAAAGTAGTGAAGGTTTATCTCATCCTAAATGCAAAAAGAAAAGAGTGAGCGAGAACTATAATCTAAACCAAATTGTACTAAACAATCTCAGTCCAGATAGACAAGGTGGAGGCACTGTTAGCACATAGTTCCTCTGAACAGATGAAAGGTGTTCAGCCTATTTTAAAAGGAATTACTCTTTCCACTAAGGATCTGATTTAGAAGTCCTCATTGTCACAAATGCTCTTTGTGGCAAAGAGAGATTTTTTTCCAATGTTCTTGTTCCAGGAGGTCTCTATCTAACATGGATAACAATGGCTTCAGGCATGGGCCACGCTCTATGCAACTTCCCATTCAAATGACTTCAAGTACATGGGACTGCCTTAGAAAACCTTGTCAAAAAACTTCAGTCGGTGTAGAATATGAGAGTAAACAGTCTTAATTAGGACCCAGCAATACAAACACATTAAATGGACCTTGTTCTTCTCCATAGTGCTTCCAAGCCATTTCTGGGACCAATCCTAAGTGCTGATTTTCATCTATAAAGCCCTGCACAGTTTGGGGGACCTCATTGGTGAAAGTCCTTCAGATCCTTCAGATGTTTTGCGCTTTGACTTCCATCCACTCTGCTCACTGACAATATTTGGTGGGACAGGTTGTTGTTGTTGTTGTTGTGTGCCTTCAGGTAGTTTCCAATTTATGGTGACCCTAAGGATAACCTATCATGGGGTTTTCTTGGCAAGATTTGTTCAGAGGTGGTTTGCCATTGCCATCCCCTGAGGCATCACCCAGTAGGCTTCATGGCCAAGCTGGGAATCAAACCCTGGCCTCCAGAGTCATAGTCCAACACTCAAACCACTATGCCACACTGGCTCTCATATTTATATCTGGGGGGCATCAGGTTGAAGAAGGCTGTTCTAAAGGAATGTGAACATATGCATGTTCCTTGGTCATCATCAGAGGGCCTTCCCTAAATGCCACCTCCATCTGAATGATAAAGGACGGTTTTCAGGGACAGGGTCTTCTCAGGCTGCTGCCACATTGCAGAATTAATGCAGTTTGACCCTGTTTTAACTGGCATGGATCCATTCTATGGAATTCTGGGATCCGTAATTTGCTGTGGCACCAGAGCTCTCTGATAGAGAAGACTAAATATCTCACAAAAC